GGCTGCAGTGTTTTCCAGGTCGGAAGCTGTTTGAACACAGTACTCTACCTCTAACCTCTACTAGGCTACTTGTTCAGATAAACAAACACTGAAATCTTCTCCGAATGAACAGCAGTATTACATTGCTTAGATAAATGAATCACAGTTCATAAACAATGCTGCACAACATAGTTTCCTATCAAGAAACTCAATATCATTCAAAACCTGTGATAATTGATCCGCTACTGTGTGTTTTTTTAATTCGACTGGCATATTGTCTTTATCGACTAATTTACTAGGTTTTATAAAACAGTCTTCATAAGGAGTTAGATAAAGTTTGTTACCTATTTAAAATGGAAGGATTGCCACCATTTTGTTTGAGAGTTTCAAGATAGAGGGTGTTTTATTAAAATATAAAGATTAAAAGATACATTTTTATTTGTACACAACACAATGCTTTATTTAGGGACCTTTACCTGACAGCAGCAATAAAATACTGAGCACTTAAAGGACCAGTGTTACTGGCATTTAGCAGAGAAGTTGCAGATTGCAACTAACTGAACACTGCTCGCATCAGTATTTGATGACCTGGGAATGGGAATGGGCTATGAAATGTGTAGGAGAAACTACGGTGACCACAAAACCTGTGAACAACACCAAAGGCCCCTTCTAAGGCCAGTGATTGTCCGTTCTGGGCTACTAGAGAAACATGGCGGTTGAACATAGCGAAAATGCAAACTACTCGACTGTGAATATCTCGCAACAAAACTGTTCTCACTTGCAGCACTGAAAATGTACGACACATTACAATAAAAGACAAATCCAAACACACAGAGAGCAGACCAAGCAGGACAGGGACTTGTGGAAAAACGTAGCAGCTTGCAGAGCTCCCGGGGGTCTTGGGGTTCACACTGCAGCACTGAACGGCTGGCAGATCGCATTCACCAGGTTCATCTCTACCTGTTATTAATACATTAAAACACCTAAGTCAAATACTAAACTAATATAGGCAGTGGCAGAACAGCAACTCTAAATGAGTTTTTGTGGGCTTTGTAGAGAACATAGATGATATATCAAGTATATCTGTGAGGAGAGCCTCATTGGTCTCTCTGGTGGTTTTTTACTTTTTTATATCATGCTGTATTCACCATCTATGACTCTATGTGCTGTGTAACACATAGCATAGCAACACAATAATGTAATGTCATGTGACGACAACATCCAAGTCACAGATAGTGTGCAAGACATGTACAAAACATGAAGGTAATGTTGGCAGGCTGCTCATTTTTAGCTGTTGCTGATCGTCGGATCAACCACCACCAAGTTGTACATTATTATGATCTGTAGCTAATTAACATTTATTCTGGGATATCATTAAAATTAAATTGGATGTTGTCCTGTTAAAGTGCTCATCATTAGACAGAGTCTGATCATGCTTGTGGTTCTTAACATAGTAGGAGGGCACGATCTACATTAGTCTAGTACAGCAACATCAATTAGCTAGTCTACGGTTTGATGCTCGCTCTAGCTGTACACAGCAGATACTTTTTCAAATGCTGTCTAAATGTCTTGTCCCGTATCCCGTACACAATAGGACTGACAAACCTGGGAGATATCTGGATGATGATGTAGGAAATAAAGATGACATGTAAATAATGTTTAGGAAACCAGTAGAACAGAGTCTTGTTCAACACAGGAGCCACAAAGGTGAGCATGCACAACAGTAGCTGAAAGCCATGGAGCAGGATGGTATTTCTGGTCTTCTTTGCATTCCCATCAGCTGATTTAGCAGCTTTAGCATCTTTAGCAGCTAAGAAGATCCTGATGTAAGTGTAGAAGAGAATGAGCCAAACACCAACAAGATAAATTATATAGGAAACGTCCCTCTTTTTCAAGTGTATAGGGTGTCGGAAAAGGTTATCCTTTTCACAAAAAATTGTGGAATAAAACAACTGAACAGGCTCTGTTGCAAAAATAATAAACACATCTGGCAGGATTGAGACTGCACTCATGGCCCAAATACATCCAATCAGAATATATGTTCTTCTGATTGTACACAGCTCAGCGTGCCGCAGTGGTAAACAAACAGCAATGTAGCACTCCACTGCCATGACAGCTAAATTTAACGGAGTGTTCAGGGTGGTGAAGACAGCTAAGGTAAGGATCAGGCAACAAAGGGAAACATTAATTTTGTAGAAGATATAACTTGAAACAAACAGACTTATTGTTGTAGTCAGCTGGATCATATCGTTCACCACCAGGTGGATGAACAGGATGTAACGAGGATTCACATAAAATATCTGAAGGAGAGGAGAAGAAAAGAAAGAAAATCAGTCAGTTAAAACATTTCATCTTTTGTTTATTACTTTAATAAATACATTTCTGATTGACTGATAATTGATTTATTAATTTCATAAGTTGCTCAGCTCATATGTGCTTACAAAATATTAGACAGCAGTGACAAAGGGAATGCACACATGACAAATTATTATACACTTCCACAAATTCAGAAATGACATTAGAAGCCAGTTGCTGCAGTCTTCTACTAAAAGTAATAACTGATAATTAAATAATAATGATCTTGACAATAATGACAGTAATAATAATAACAAACCATTCTGACCTGGTGTTTTCTGAAGGTGTGAATCAGGGTACCATTGATATAATTGATGATTAGGCCAAGAGCCAGAACAATCACATTTTTGGCCACAGCTGTGCTGTAAGAGTCTCGATAAGTTACAACAGTTGACATGTTGTAGCCATAAGATGAGGAATTCATTGAGCTGACTTGAGGATCCTGCAACATTTAAAAATATTACCTTAAATTTAAACTTACAGTGTGTTTTTATTTGTTTCCACAGTTGGAAGAATACTTAAATGATTCAAGGAATTATGCACTGATAAAGTAAACCTACAACCAATAAACTCGTCATTTAATGTTTTGTACAAAAAGCATTCATCCTTAAATTTATCCAACTAAAAACAAAACTATTTGAATGCCTCACAAAGTCAATGACACACTTTAATACTAGGAATCACATACTAAGTTTAGGGTGTAAAACTTTTCCCAAATAGTAGAATTAATTCAGAATGAGACTGTCACACAAACAACACATCATTTACTTGAAAGTGAAAGTCAAAATATGATTTGGTCTTATAAATAATATAAATACATTTTCAGTCTTCCACTTATTAAAGCACATTATGTTTACCAACTAGATGTCATACATATGTTGCATTTATGATCATTGTTGCAGAAGATGTGCTTTTCTTGAGGATAAGTTGCACAATTCAAAAAGATTGCAATACTGTGAATAACATTATAATAAAATACTGCATTAACACAGTGTGATAGCATCAAATACTTACCTGAGATAGTACACTTCAGTCACCGCTTCACCTGTCACAAACTGAGCCTGAAATCAGGCTTTATAGTAAGCAGGATGATGCATGAGTCCTGCAGAAGGTCAGAGATGATGTCGTTTTCCTGGTCCTGAATAAATAATGCAACATTCCGTAAAGTAAACCAACAGACTAGACATTAAACTTCAAACTAGATACAAAACAAGGTACAAACATGTAGTGCAATACGCACTATTAGATGGTGTTAAGAATATAAGTATAGTATTAAAGCTGCAAGCAGCAATTATTGTACAGTGTTAGAAGAAGAAGAAGATATACTTTATTGGTCCTCTAGGGGGAAATTGTTTTTTCACTCTTTTATATATTTATATATATATATATATATATATATACATACACACACACAGGCTGAAATGCATACTT